CATCTGTCCCTGGCCCACTTGGACTTTGCTTTGCATTCTTGGCCAGGATGGAATGTCGCTGCTTTGAGTGTCATTGCTGATTCTCAATACCTCTTAGATTTATCTCCTGCCCAGAGCTCCAGTTAGCTCATTTTCTTCTGACCCACAAATGTTTTCTACCTAGATACCTCTTCTGTATAGTAATCTGTTCCTTCATCACCTTTGATCTATTGTTCTCACCAGGTCCTGGAGTCTTCCAGTCTAGGCCCACCACTAACTCCTAATTGTACTCCTCCCTACAAGCACAGCTCTTCAGTGTGGAGAGTTGGGAGCTGGGCAGCAGGAGGGGTGTGTGCTTGCAATGGACTTTCCCTTCCTCTCTGGAATTAGCCAACCACCTTCTGGAGATAGTTGGCATCTATCTGGGGCTTAATCACTTGACTCTAACTCAACAATATTATCCTGTTTCTAATGTTGCTGATTTACTCGCTTCCTCAGTTTACAATTCCTGGGGAGTTTGGCCTTTAGGAGCTCCACCCAGTTAGTTCCACACTCAGATCAGCTACCAGGAGAGGCTGGAACGAATGCGGAATAGCCTTCTGTCCCCTCTACCAAGGGCCTCCCTCCCCGCCCAGCAGAAAAATAACCGGCTGGGCTCCGGGTCAGGCTTCCAGGCCCCACCAGCAGCGACAAGTGGAAGGGAGAAGAGGAGAGTGTGGGGAGGGGCTGACAACCAGTGGGGAGGGGCTGACAACCAGCAGCAGGATGCTGGGGGCACCTCATCTGGGAGACTGAGGCACTGGGAGTTCTGAGGTGGATATCTTGGGAGCCCCAGTCACAGAGGGGACTACAACCCCTTCCCTCAGGCACCCCCAGTGTGAGTGGGGACAGAACCCTGCCCTTGGGAAGCCCCAGTCTGAGGTGGGACACAGCCCTGCCCTCCGGAAGCCCCCGTCTGAGGGGAGACACAGCCCTGCCCTTGGGGAGCCCCCATCTGAGGGGGGACACAGCCCTGCCCTTGGGGAGACCCCGTCTGAGGGGAGACATGGCCCTGCCCTTGGGGAGCCCCCGTCTGAGGGGGTGACAGTTCTGCCTCAGGGAGCCCTAGTTTGGAGCTGCGGCAGGGCCTCTGTTTCCTTCTGAGGGTGACTGCTCAATAGGGAAGTCTTTTCCAGAGCTGTTCCCTGATTCACCCTTCCCTTTGCCTCCTGCAGCCAGCAGAGCTCTCAGAATGGGGGAGAAGTCATCTTCGGGGGTGTGGACAGCAACCTGTACACGGGGCAAATCTACTGGGCCCCCGTCACCCAGGAGCTCTACTGGCAGATTGGCATTGAGGAGTGAGTCTGTATTGGGGCCATGGGGAGATGGGCAGTTCTTTGGAGCTTCTGAGGCACTTCATGTCACACACACACACACACACACACACACACACACACACACACACACACATCCAGGTAATGCTGAAGGGCAGGGGGCAGAGGGCCCCTGAGGCCTGCCCCCACAAAGCCACAGCTGCCCCCTGCTGGAGTTTCAAGACCCAGCTCAACCTGAAGAAGAGGGGTTGTGTGGGGGACAACACAGGAAGGGGCAGGACTTGGAGTCCCAAACTGTAGTCCAGCCCTATGGTTTAGAGATTAGAACAAGTGTGTGTTGGGGGGACTAATTCTGTCAAAGCACTTATAGCAATCAGTAGCCCTGGCTTTCAGTGTTTCTAGAACTTTGCTTGGAACTTTTAGAAAGAGGTTCCATGGCCATTTAGGATAGGCTCTGATATGTTGCGAGGCTGGGGAATGGCTAGATTGACCTCTGCAGAGTCCTTACCTTTCTGAGATGTACTTTGACTCTGTGGCTGTAGCTGTTTGTCCCTCAGTGGTGGGGACAGCTGCCCTAACTGCCCCCAGCTGGAGGTGCTGAGGCCACTCATGTGCTCCCACTCAGGTTCCTCATTGGCGGCCAGGCCTCAGGCTGGTGCTCCCAGGGCTGCCAGGCCATCGTGGACACAGGCACATCTCTGCTCACTGTTCCCCAGCAATACATGAGTGCCCTTCTGCAAGCCACGGGGGCCCAGGAGGACCAGTATGGACAGGTGGGTCTTGGGGAGGTGTCCCCCTTCCCTCGGTGAGGCCAGCCAGCAGGTGTTTATATCCTGAGAGCACAGGGGTAGCTTAATTCTTGGCCTCTGTGCTTTCTGATGCCCCTGAGCACTGGAGGTGTGGGGCCCTGGGATGACTAGGGTGGGAAGCCTTGAGGCTGATTCAGGGCCACCAGATGCTTGTGCTGAGGGGATGTGGGGAGGTTACTACTAGGCGGAATTCCCTCTGAGCTCCAGATTCCCAGAGAAAACAAGTTAAGCACTTGCTGGGCTTTGGAGTAAGAGCAAAATAACTGGAATGTGGGGCCAAGGACGTGGGGTGAGAGGGAGCAGAGGGCTGAGGTGATGGGGTTGGCAGGCACTCTCGGGTGGGAGATGAGGCAACCTGGGCCCTGTTCCACTCTGCAGTTTTCCGTGGACTGTAGCTCCATCCAGAACCTGCCCACCCTCACCTTCATCATCAATGGTGTGCAGTTCCCTCTGCCACCCTACTTCTACATCCTCAACGTAAGTCCTGGTGGCCACTAGCCTGCGGGGATATGATGGGGGGCGGGGCCCGGGGAGAAAGGGGAGGAGCCAGAAATGCTGGGTCTCTCCCTTGTGCCACTTGCCAGCTCCTCTCAGCGCGGATTTGTTTTCACTGCTCATTGATCCTAAACCCCTTCTCTGGAATGAGGCTGTGAGATAGAAGACTGTCCCTATTATTACTTATTATTATTAAGTAACGGGGAGGCACTTTGTTGAGTACTTAACTGGAGAGGCCAACATGTGAAGTCCTTAGCCTATGTCATCCCACCTAATTGTCACAACATTCAATGAGGGAGACACTAAATTCTATGTCACAAGGGAAAACTTGGAGGTTCAGAGAGGTTAAGTGACTCAAGGCTACACAGCTAGTCAGGGTGAAGCTAAGGTATGAATCCGAGTTGGGCTGGCCTCCAAAGGCTTTACTACTAGGCTGATCTGCTCCAAACTGGGAGCAGGAGGGAGGTGGGCAGGAACCCAGGGAGAGGAGATCCTGCAGAGAGCCACTGCAGCCTGCATTCACCCATTCCAGAAATCCCTCTCCCCAGCCCCTGCTCTGGCGGCCTGGGGCCCTCAAGGGCAGAAGCTCGGGCTCACCCATTTCTGCATTTGTGCCCCTGGCCTGGGGCTCAGGGCTGAGCAGTCCTTGTCCAGCTGTGAGGAATGCCTGAGTGCTGCCCTTCTGTGTTACACAGAACAATGGTTACTGCATCGTGGGAGTCGAGCCCACCTACCTGCCCTCCCAGAACGGGCAGCCCCTGTGGATCCTTGGGGACGTCTTCCTCAGGGCTTATTACTCCATCTACGACATGGGCAACAACAGAGTGGGCTTCGCCACTGCCGCCTAGACTCAGTGCTTGGATGCCTGGGACCCTTTCTTCCTCTAGGCCCCCTACCCTGCAGGGGGTCTCTCTGGGCTTTTCCTCTGGATTCAGCCTTTCTTTTCTGGACTCTGGACTTTCTCTAATAATAAATAGATCTTCTCCATGTTGGCCAGACTGTTGTTCTCAGAGGGGAGTTGTGGCCTGTAAGGCAGCTCCTAGTCTTGGAGAATGGGGAGAGTGAGTCGGGGGATGGACCTGCTGAGCCAAGTCCTCCTGGAGTTGCTAGAAAGTTTCCAGGTGGGTCACTGAGATTCTAAGAGAAATGGAACATAAGGTAGGGCCTAGGGATGGGCTCTGTACCTCTCTGAGCTTAAAGCCTGTCCATAGCTTCTCTCAGCAAAGGGAAGACAGTGGTGGGGGCATCAAGGCAGGGCATTTCTTTATGATGGGAAGAGGGGCCTTACTCCAACAAGCCAAACTGCTCTGATGACCTCGCTTACCAAGCTAACACCAGAATTATCCTGTGCATGTCCGACACATGTCCACCAGCAGCATGATTAGGGGCGCAGTGAATCCCAAACCTAGGCCTCCATCTCCTTATCTGTGATCAGATTTGCACTAGGAGTTTTCTGTGCACTTCTAACAGTGATGGGTCCTTGAGGGAGGATGGTAAGGCCACCAGCTCCTATTCCCAGTTCAGGGCTGTGTTAAATGATAGTTTCCCCCAGACTGCTCTGTCCCAGGGCCTACATTTGAAGAAGGGCTGGCCCTAACCACGGACAAGAGGGATCACTACTTGAGTTACATGGAAATCAAGCCCAGTTGCTGTAACCAATTGAGCAAGACATCTTGTCCCTCTGGACTTCATCCCTGTCCTACTTAGGACCCACCCAGAAAAAGACCCCCAAACCTGGGGCAACATGGGATGGGGAGGAGGAGGAAGAGGAGAATGCAGAAAATGATGGTTCAGTGTCCTGTAACTTCCAACAGGGGAAGGTGTCAAGAAAGGAGATCAGAAAGTTTCGGTCCAGCAATGTGGATTGATGAGGCCTAGGTGGGGAGGGGGTGTAAATGGAAAATTCCTAAGGGGAGGGGAGGTAGACCCCTTCTACAACTGTCTTTCACCCTGTCCTACAGTGGCTGGCCCCACCCTCGTGCCTTATGTTTAGGAGCGGGGCTAAAAGCGCAAGATTGAAAACTGGAGGGAAACTGAGGTTTGTCATGCTGTAGTTCCTATGCAATAGCCCACCACCTGGGACCTGACATCTTTCCTAGGCTCTTGTAAAAGGAGCTGGCTGTAGGCCTCTCCTTGGGGTCAGACAGGCTCGTAGTGAGCTCAGTCATCACTGAAACGAAAACTTGGAAAAGGGGAAGAAACGAAGTGGAATAAAGACTCCAAGTTTAAACGCCGAGTCCCCAGTCCCTGTACCTGCACAGGCCTGGGACCCACCAAGTGAGACTACAAATCCCGGCGAGCCCTGCCAGGACTACGCTTCCCAGCGGGCGCCGCGGCAGACCGACGGGGGGGCGGGACGGGGCGGGGCCGCAGGGGGCGGATGCTGCCCTCTGCCGGGCGCGGCGGGAAGTGGGTGCGGAGTGACCGCGGGAGCCCGAGTGCCCGGCGCGGGGCTCGGTGACAGCGGAGGCGGCGGCCGCGGGCTGGAGCGGCGGCAGCGCCGACGGCAGCTGGAAGGGCGGACGGGGAGGGCCTCCCCGGTGGCACTAGCTGGAGGAGGCCGGGAGGGGGCGGCAGGCGCAGCTCGCGGGCCGGACACCTGAACTTGGGACAAGTTGCCAGAGCTGCGGGGCGCGAGTGGCGGACGGATTGACCTTCAGAGCTAGGTGAGTAGGGCCAGGAGGAAAGGGTGCTTGGAAGGCTCGGAACCCCCGACCCAGGCCACCCCGCTCCCATCCCTTCGGTCCGGGAGACAGGTGGGTGGGTGGAGGTGCCGGCTGGAGAGAGGAGCGGGACGGTGTGTACCGCGCCGCCATCCGCGCCGCAGTCTGTCTAGCCCGGGACGCCCGGCGCCTGGCCGGTGCGGCACTGCCCCCACCCCACCCCACCGTGTCCGGGAGCCCCTCCGGCGCCTCCCTTCAGGCCGGGGGCTGGGGGCGGCTTCTCCGCGACCTTATGTAACCAGGCGGGAGGGGCAGGGGCGGGCACGGGCCTTCCCGGTTCGGGAGCTGGGCGTCGAAGGGGCGTGGGGCGTGGGAGTGAACTTGCAAGAAGTTTGAGGGACGTATGGGCCCTGAGCCCACTCCCTCTCCACCGGACGCGGCTGGGACGGGTGGTACGGCGGAGGGCACCGGACTCAGAGAGGTGCGGGGGCCGAGTCCAGCCCGGCCTTGCCTGGCTGGTCCCGGGGAGTGGGAGGGCCGGAGCGGCGCCACGCCCCGGGGGCTGGGCTGCTGGAGAGGGGCGGGTGGAAGTACCATCCCCCCCCAACTCCTTTCCCGTCCCTTCCTCCCCCTCGGTCTCTGGAAGAAGTCGTCTCTGTCCGAGTCCCCTGCTATGTCTTTTTCTCTCCCTTGCATTATTCCACGACCTTAGGGAACCCCAACCCCAGAGCTCACCGTCTGTCCGGCACCCCTTTTTCTGCTTTCCCTGGAGCTCCCAGCCATCTGCTTCCCCCCCTTCCCCCGCTCCCGAAGACCCCCCACCATCTCGGTTCTAAATCCCGGAAAACACGCCCCTTTTCCCCTATATACTCGGAGTCTGCGCCGCCCAGCCCCAGGCTGTCCCGCCCCCCAAGTCAGCGCCCATTCTCCCCACCTCCCCGTACCCCGGCCAGCTATTGGGCCGCAGCGCGTCCTCTTTCCTCCTCGAAAGGAGCGGACTGTTGCCAGCTCGGTCCCCACCCCGCGGCCCCCTCCCGTCTCGGGGTTCTGGCTTCACGCATGGCTGCCCTGAGCTGCTCCGGGTTGCGCGAGCAGGTTCGCACCGCAGCCGCCTGGTGCGCCCCAGCCCGGAGCCCAGTCGAGGGGAGGGCGGGCGCTCGGGGCGGGCCTCGGGGCTCGCGCGCCCGCACAGCCCGGAGCTCTCCTCGTCATTCCCTGCCGTCCCCTCTCCGCGGAGTCCTTCCTCGAACCCCAGTCCCCTCCAGCCTTGGTTCTCCCTCCTGTCTGTTCTGGGGACGGTTCTGCGCGGATAGTTTTCTGTGCTAAACTTGGGCGCAGTGCGTTCTTTGGCTTAGCGTTCGCTGAGGAAACGTTAATTACCGCCTAGCCTCCACCCCCCGCTCTGAGCGAAAGGAGTGCTGAGTCGAGCAAGGAAAGGTTCAGGGCCAGAGCAGGCCCCCAGCGACACCTCTGGAATGTGGGCTTGGGCCCGTGCACCCTGCCCTGTCCGAGATTCCACCGGCCCCAAAACCTGGCCCTCTTGGGCACCTGAGGGGGTGCGAGGTAGGGGCCTGGTCTCTGGCTTCCGCTAGGGCAGCCAAAAGTAGTACGCTCAGATAAAAATGCAGATCCTGGCTGGTTGGCCTGTACCTCCTGAGACCTTCTCTGTGCCCAGCCTGCGAGACGGCCCCCAGGCCCTGCCCCCAGGTTGATGGCAGTCTCCTGGAGAGACTGCCAGCAATAGGTAAAGGCCTGCCAGAGAGGCACTGAAAAGGGAAGGGCTGGCTGCCCTGAGAGCCCTCCCTGGTAGCCTTTGGGTATGCTGGTACCATGCCTCAGTTTCTCCAGCTGTAGGAAAAATAGCAATTCACTTGGCCCTCTTCTTTCTGCCTGCCTCCTGGCTGCTGGGATAGATGAACTAGGAACCATGCAGTGTAAATGAAGGACTGTTTGTGGCGGCTCTGTGCTGTGCTTCTCTGGGAAGGGAGCCAATATTGCTTACAGTTTACAAGGCCTGTTACAGCTGCAGTGCTATTTTGTCCTCAAACCAGCTCTGTGAGATGCAGCCAAATGGGAGTCCCTGGTTCTAAGTCCCATGAAAAGGGTGCAGGGGTGAGGGCAGGAGACATCCAGGGAGAAGCAGCTAGGCTTCGGAGGGCTGATGGCCAGGTAACTCATGGTCAGAGACGGGCAGGGGGTGGGCCAGGGCAGACAGCAATCCATCCAGGGTCCTGGAATGGTGGAGACACCCAATGGCCACCCCCATTGCCAGCCAGGCCCCCCTTTTGGCCCCTCAGCTGTAAAGTAGGTGGGAATGGCCTCACCCCTAGGGCCTGGTGGCCCTCTGAGGGTCTGGCATCAGGCCCTGGTCCTCCTGGGGCTCTGTTTATGGCTGTAATTGCATTATTAGCCAGAGTTTATAGTTACTTAGCACCTGCCCCCATAGGGAGTGGCTCAACCACCCCCTGGCTTCTGTCTCTTCCTTTTCAAAGTCAGCTTGGTTTCTGCCAGCAGTGATAGCAGGGGTTTCCCCAGCTGCAGCTGGTGTGCAGGCCAGGTTGGTCCTTTGTCTTATGGATGGAGGGCAGTCAGTGCTTGGGGCCCAGCTTGGGGCTGCCCTGGAGATGACCATGGAAATTGGGTTGGCCTCCTCTGATGCAGAGGGAGGGAGTTCAGGATTTCCAGAGCTGCCAGAAGTATCCACATCTCAAGATGCAGTAAGATATATACATGTAATATGTATATCCTCATTTGAAAAGAGACAGATAAAAAAGCACACACCTTACAAGCTGTAGTGAGAATTTGGGGGGGAACCATGCCTGGTACATGGTGAGTCCATGGCATTGCTCTGTGTGTGGGGGTTGTGTAATTGATGGGAGCACGCGGTTATGAGATTATAGGTACTGGGCATGTATGTGTAGATGAACTGTGTATACACATGTCTGTGAGAGTGTAACAACACATTGTTAATAGATTATTCAGGTATTCTCTTTATGCTATAATAGGACAATATTACAATGAAATTTAGTTATAAACAATCGTTGCCAACATTTATTGTGTATTTATTCTTTGGAATGAGGCGGGAGTTACTATTTTCATTATATGGATTCAGAGAAGTTAAACAAATTGCCTGAAGTCACATAGCCTGGAAGTGGTAGGGATTCTAACTCAGGCCCAGCTGCCTCCCAAATCCATGTTTTCTCAGTCCCTAAAGAAAATCACTTCAGAGTTTCCCAGGTGTTCTCTTCATCTTAAAAGTGGGGGGTGTGGTGGTCTGGGAACCTTCTTTGCCCCATCCAGGGTCTCCTGCTCTGAGCAGGCGTGGGAACTTGCTGAAACCTCAGCCCCAGGACCCCACCTGCTTCTTGGCTGCTCTCTGACCTGCTTACACAGGTGACCAGAGGGCCCCCTAGTGGGAACTCTCCTGATTGGCCCTGGGAAGAGACAGGTTCAGACATGGCTCCCTGGGTCTCCTTGGAAACCTCAAATGTTAACTTACAGCAAGGCCCTCAGTAGGCATGTGTTTACTCAGACGTAGAGAAAAGGCTGCGGGGACTGTGGGGTGAGAATGAGGCTACAGCGAAGTCATGAGAACACAGGAAACCCCACGCCACCTGACAAGTCCCTGCTCCACTCAGCCTCAGTTTCCATATCTGTGATCCTCAATCTTCTGCGGGGTCCCCTCAAGTGCAAACCTTCTACTGGTCTTTGGCAAAGGCACCTGGACAGGGGAGGCTTCAGAAAGGGAGGGAGGGGGTTTGTGGGGGCCTGCTGAAGGTCACTCCTTAGGGCTTGAGCTAAAGCTGTCCCTGGTGGAGCGACCAGCCAGTCTTTCTTGGGACATGGCTGTAGCCACCATGTGTTGAGCACTGGGCTAGTATAATCGAGCCAGGGCACTGTTGAGGATGTGGGCTCCTAGGCCAGGCTGCCTGGCTTAGAGTCCCAGCTCTGCTACTTACTAGCTGTGTGACCCTGGGCAAGCTGCTTATTCCCACAGTGCCTCCGTTTCCAAACCTAAAAAGTGAAGATTATAATAGCACCTACCTAATAGTACTGTAGTGAAGGCTAAGTATGTTGATGCACTCTACATGTATAAGACTGAGAATACTGCCGTGCTAAAATAAAGTCAGTTGTTATAATTAACTTATAACTCATTTATTTCTCATTTTCAAGTGAGGAAATAGAGGCATAGAGAACTCTAGGGAAGAAATAAGGACTTATGGGTTGCAAACAAGCCTGCTTGCATCTAACATCCTCATGTAAATGCCTCCCATGGGACTTTGTGGACTCCATGGCCACAGTCCCCACCACTCCCTGTTGTACCACACCCTGCCTGGTTTCCACACTTAACAAGGTAGCACAGGGGACTTGACGTTGCCTGCAGCATCTCTACCACCCTGCTCTGCCCCTTGGGATTCCTTGGGTAGCATCTGGCCTGGTCACTTATTTGCGCTCCTAAGCCAAGGTTCTCCCCTGCACTCCTGCTGCCTGCCCCTCCTCCACTGCATCACAGATACAGATCCTCATGGCTGCGATGTTACTGAAGGCAGAGGTAAAATCCCAGCAGTAGGGCATCATCTGGGACTTATTGGGCCCCAGGAAGTACTTTGCTGTGCGGTGGTGGGGCAGTGGGTGAGAGCAGGGGGCAGCAGAGGGGCAGAAGCAAGAGGGAGAGCCCTCACCAGTTCTCTTTCCTGGCTGCTTAAGTGGAGGCATAAGGAGAAGGACAAATGAGGCCTGAACATCCCCACCCCCATCCAGGTGCTTTAGGGACAGGCCTCCCTGTTGTCCCTTACTCATACAGTGGAGGTCCCAAAGTAGAATGTGATGCCATGGATTCATCCAGGAACTCCAACAAACTGTTAGAAACTCATGGTCCATCTTCTCTCCTGACTGCCCTCGTTCATGCTGGTCCCTTCTCCTGGTATCCCCTTTTCTACTCCCCTCCCTATAACCAAATCCTCTGTCCATCAAGGCGCACCTTCCCAGGAGACCAGGAGACA